AACACACACATAACACACATCACACACACATACACACACATAACACACACATCACACACACATATACACACACACACACACATATGAACAACAAATGGCAACCAGGCCTAGTGCTGTAGCCTGTAATCCCAGCTACTTGTAATATTGAGACACAAGTTTCATGAGTTCAAGGTTTGCCTGGGCTACACAATCAATTCAAGACCAGCTTAGGCAACATAAGTTGAGTGTCTCAATAAAAAAAAAAAAAAACACAACCTGTAGTAGCACATATCTTTAATTTAAGCACTCTGGAGGCAAAAGAAGAATCAGGGGAATCTCTGTGAGTTTGAGGTTAGCCTGGTCTACATAGTGAGTTCCAGGCCAGCCAAGGCCATTTACACAAAGAAACTCTGACTAAATAAATAAATAAGACTTAATAAATTAATAAATAGTAAGGGAAGAGACCAGAGAAGTGGCTCAGTAGTTGATCCTTATCTTACAGAAGACGTGGCTGCATTCTCAGAACTCACATGGTAGCCCAGTTCAAGGGGTCCTGACGCTCTCTTTCGACTCTGAGGGCACCATGCTCATGTGGTACATATAATACATGCAGGCAAACACATAGCCATAAAAATAGAAATATAAAAAAATCATGTGAGGGGACAAAAAGAGGACCAGGGCTATATGTAGCTCAGTGTTGGGAAGCTTACTTAGCATGCGTGGGACCCATGTTCAATCCCCAGTGCTGAGTGGAAGAGAGGAAGAAAAAGACAGAACCAGCAACAAACCAAAGACAGAGCTAGACAGAGCCCTTAGAGCCAGCTCTTCTAGGCAAGGATCAAGACACGCCTGTGTCCGTGTGCTCCTGTGACCTGGGGCTTGTGTGCTTTATGCTTGCTGTGTGTCTGGGGCGGGGGTGGGAGCTGAGGCAACATACTTCACAGAACAGTGTAACAGGGTGCTGAGGATGGATGTGTGCTTGTGTGCAGAATGCCAATCACACCGTCATCTCAAAGTGTGTCCGTGTGTGTGTGTGTGTGTGTGTGTGTGTGCGCGCGCGCAAGAATAGAGTATGAAAGTGGGAATACGATATAGGATTCTTTGTGTCAGGGTTGAGCTGTGTGTGTGTGTATATGGAATGAAAGTCTGAAAAGGGAATATATGCAAAATGGCATAGTGTGTGTGTGTGTGTGTGTGTGTGTGTGTGTGTGCACGCGCACAGGGTGTAGGGGTGCCCAGCTGTGTGTGTGGGTGTACCGGGGGATGTTGTTGGAGCTGTTTTCTGTCCCCAGAGGGAAAGAGTAAGCCCAGGAAATCACAGTTCCGCCCTGTCCCTGGGTCTCCAGGCAACTGTACCACTCTGAAGTTACTAGGAGACAAGGTTTCCAGGGAAACCCAGGCTTGAGTGATAGCTTTAGAACCAAGTCTGGGTGAAGAGACTGGCTGTGCAATCAGAATCTTGGTTCTCATTAATTCTCCCTTCATTCAGTGATTTAACAAGAATTGCAGTTCTTGGGACTAGAGAGATTTGGCTCAGTGGTAAAGAGCACAGACCCAAGTTTAATTTCCAGCACCCAAACGGCAGATAATAGCTGTCTGTAATTCCCAGATCTGACACCCTCACACAGACATACACGCACACAAAACACCAATGTACATAAAATAAATAAATTATTTAAAAAAACTTGCAGTTCTCCAGTATACTCAGCAGATGCTCATAAAGAAGCCTTCAAGGCCCGCAACCTATTAGCACATCTGTCCTCTACAGTATCTCTCCCAATGCCAATAGAAGCAAGCATTAAGATGGTCCCAGGCCAAGAAGAAAGTCAGAGGAGGGGTGTCTTCAAGAGCGCTCAGAGGGAGCGTGGGAGAGGGCTCAGCATGTCAAGTGCGAACAGTGCAGGCACGAGCGCTGTGGAAACACCAGACAAAGTACGATTGAAAGGACAGGGCTGTGATGACCTTGGGCGTGGACTCAGGACCAACCCCAGAAGCTCTCGGGCCAGCCAGTCTGACCTACACAGCAGTGAACAAAATACACTACCTCAAATGAGATGGTAGGCGAGGACTGACCTCCACACGCTCAGGGAGGGCACAGTCCTGCCTGCACACACCCACACACATAGAAATGTTTAAAACCTAAAACGGAAATCAGGGTCAGTGAGATGACTGAGGGTTCTTGTACCAATCCTGAAGACCTTTCATCCTGGGGAACCCACATGGAAGGAGAGAAAGAACTGCACCCCATTCCACAAGTTGTCCTTGAACACTGGGTCATTGGAGTACGTACACACACAGCAAATAAATCAATGTAACAAACCCCTCATTGAGGCTAGGGACGAGGCACAATTTGTAGAGTGCTTGCTTGGCAGGTACAAAACCCTGAGTTTGATTCCTGCCTTAGCTCGGCGAGGTAGCATAAGCCATCCACAGAGTTCCAGACAAGTGTAAAATAATAATAATAATAATAATAAACCTATGAGTTCCCATCTGCAGCCCATACAAACCACATTCTCATATTGAAGCATGCAAAGCCAAGCAAACAGCTGTCCTTTTCCGCCTATAAACAGTCCTTCGGTGACATTTAGCTAATATTCACGCCAACACACTGCAATGATCACAAAGACTCAGAATACTCGCTTTGCAAATGGGCAAGCTGAGGTTAAGAATCTGGTTTTTATTATTATTTATTTTTAAGACAGGTGCTCATGTAGCTCAGGCTGGCCGAAAACTTCAATATGTAGCTAAGGGTGACCTATATTTTTTTTTAAGATTTACTTTTATGTGGGGGGGGAGGGGTGGCGGAGAGCATTTAATTATGTGTGCCTCGTGCCCGCGGTCAGAAGAGGGCGTGGGATCCCCTGAAATGGTTGTTAGTCACCTTGTGGGTACTGGAAACTGAACTCAGGTCTTTTGCAAGTGCAGCCAGAGCTCTTAACGGTTCAGCCACCCTCCCCGTCTCCAGCCTAGAAGCTGGGCAGCACATTGGCACCCTCGACCTTTCTTCTAATCTGATCGCGCCGCTTTCGGCGGCCGATTCCCTCAAGCCCCAGCTTCCTCCACGGATCCCTCAAGCCCCAGCTTCCTCCACGTTCCGTGTTTTGACCCGTTACGACAGCTCCAGCGACCGACAGTGAAGCTGCGAACTGTAGCCAATGAGGCATCGGTGTGGGCGGGCCCGGGATGAGAGCGCACCCCTGATTGGTCAGCGGTACTTGGCAAATGGCGGAGGCGCTGAGGCGGGTGCTGGATGCGGGCAGCGCGGCGAGGCCCGAGGGGGTTGGAGCTAGCGGGCCACCGTTGCTGCTGCTCGGCGCTCCGCGTTCCGCGCAGACGTCGCTGCTGTTTGCAGCCGCCCTCGAGGCGGCAGGGGAAGGCCGCGGGCCTGTCCTCTTCCTGACACGAAGGCCACTTCAGAGCCTGCCGCTCAATACACCCGCAGCGCGGGAACCCTGGCGGCTCCAGGTAACCGGAGGGCGCGGCCTGGAACGTGTCACCCAATGGCAGGATAGGCTGCGCATGAGTGGCAGGTCGGCAGGCCAATGGCACGACAGAAAACCTATGTGGAAGAGGAGGGTGGAGGAGGCGGAGTAGCCCTGTGTGGTGTGGCAGTGCGGGTTTAGTTAAAATTGAATGAAAGACCAGCGTTAGCGAGCGTGGGCGCAGGAGGAGCGGTCAGGGTAGAAACCTTGGTCTAAACACTCCTCCTTCCTCTCCCTCTCCCTTCCCCTTCTCTCCCTTCCCCTTCTCTCCCTTCCCCTTCTCTTCCTCTCCTCCCTCCCTCTCCTCTCCTCTCCTCTCCCCTC